CCCATATTCTATTAAAACAAGTACACTTTGTCGACACAATTTCAAGACGAACATATTTTTGGGATACCGCAGTCCCATTTGGATCAAAAAATAGCCACAATGTAGTACAATTAAATCCTGATGAAGATAAATACTATCTACTTATACCATACCCTACATTAATGCAATTACTCAAAAAAAATTCACACGAAAGCATCAGAGCTATTGCTCGTAATCCAAATGTTGATTTAAAATCAATTGGAATATATTCTAAATCTGATATCCAACATCACATTATAACACAACAATTTCAGGAATTATTAACACAAATGGACACTATACAAAGACAGTCAATTGACCAAAATTTATGAAAACTTGCCGAAACCGCAGGATTTGCAGATATTTATACACAAGATTATAGCGGATATTTTAAAGACATTAAAGACTATATATATTTAGCGGTGAAAAACACAGACCACAGGATATTTCAACTATAAATATTTTCAGTTTTGTCACCCTAAAGAACGAAATTCTAGCTTTTCTAGGATGGCCCTATTACATCTTAGAAAAATTAACTATCTTATACGCCATGTTTCATTTTATAGGATTTCTTTTCTCACTACTAAAAGGAATCTATAACACATGCGCTATACACACACAAGTAAACAGACAAGCAAGTGTAGCACGTATACTAATTGTAGGATTTTTTGGAATTTTTTCATCATCAATTAACAAAATATTTCTAAATGCACAAATAAAAGAATATAACACAAAAATATCCACAAGACAAAACACATACGACGAAGAACACAATAATAAAGAAATAACACCTACCGCACCACAATTGCCACCCTTACCACATAACCATCCATTATCATTAGTTCCCCGTAATTTCCGAAACCTAGCAATCACAAATAATCCAAATTCTAGACCAAATACAACACAAAGTCCCATCCAACATATACTGACACATCATTCACAAAATGATAATACATACGAACAAATTATAGAACAACCCCACACCACCACTTTTCAGTCTCAATATAATCATTTTTTTTAGCCCACGATGAGCCGAAAACTTGGATCCCTCCATCGCTCAAATTCCCATCCAGCCAACCTCCAAACTCAAATCCCAATAATTCCACTTTTTGCTTTCCCACCACCCGATTTTCCGATTATTAATATATCATCAAGCACGAATTCTGATACTAACTCAGATATTTCAGTTTTACGTTCTAACTCACAATTTAATAACTCCCATCCATTTCCACTCCGTCTTATGCTTCCCAAGTAACCCCAACCTATTTTCCACTTCATTCCGACAGATCAAATAATAATTCTTCAGATACCCCCAAAATTTATTTTATTACTTCACAACAACAATTAATACACCCCAACACCCTCACAATACATCAACTATCATCCACAATGACATCATCAAATCCACCTACCCGCACACCCTCCTCAGCTTACACTCCATCATTGGCACAATCATCCACATCCACCGAAACACCTAATAGCACTCACCGAGCTTATCGCACTTTTAAACGAAAATTTCCAAATCACCCATTCCCAACCAAACCCGGAACAGCCCGCGAATATATTAATCACCCGCAACACACCAACACAAAAAATTTTCTTGAAATCACCTTACCCTCATTTCCGCAATATACATTAAATACACCTAATAATACTAACGACACACGCAATTTTGTCGATGAACACGTTTTAATGCCAACACTTCATTGGACAGCTTATTATAATTTTACTAACCCCCTTTGCCTACCATTAGCTAATACTCATGACAGCATCGAAAAGAACAAAAACATGTTATATAGACTCACCACAACACTAACACCTCGACAATTTACTTACGTTGGAAATAAAAAAATTACTAAAAACATTCACTGCACCCCGCGCTAACGAATTTGCAATAGAATACTACGATCATAATATCGTCCGCTTTAATCAAGATCAATGTTTAGATGAAGAACGCTTCGCAAACCCGCAACTAACAGAAACTTTTTTCATCAAAACATCATACGTATTCAGACCTAATATTTTTGATAGAAAGCATGACCACATTATTTCAGAATCACTAGCTGATATTCAGGCATACGAGAGCTTCTATGATAAATTTCAGTTATTTTCACAAACCTTTCACTTTCTTTCACCACAGGAACGCAATTTGCACTGTTCCCACAATATTATGTTACGCACTAAACAAACGCACACATATACATACTATCGTTTTATACAAAATCATTTTGATTTACACACCCCATAAGACAACCTCACCATCGTTTTTATTTTCTTAACTCAAAGACACGTCACCATTTTCCTTAATTTTACCTATTACATTAAAGATACTAACCTCCTCGGCATCCTCCGCAACTATGACCCAGTTACCCAATTGTATATATTCTGTACCATCACAAAGACCTTCAATGCCGAAGAATCCAGACCCTTCCTTATCCCGCATGAGTTTATCCAGCCTATTGAAATACCCATATTAGAATTCATTCACAATATTAAATATAATCATAAATATATAACCTCATCCAAAACACATCTTACGAGTTTGCAGTAGGCACCGAAGAACTAAACACCATTAAAGCACTTCAATTGCTTTGGCCACTGCTACAAACTAAAATCTTCATATGCATACTAGCCAAATTACTAACAACATCAGATATGATTCACGACATCTTCCCCCACGGTTTTTCCCCAGAAGATTATGGTAAGTATAATTTGAAATACTTTTAACTAATAAATTTAAAAATGTACTAACCATTTTCTATTAATGTTTAATTTATATTTCTAGTCTTCACACCACGATCATCTACAAAACAGAAAAGAAAGGTAAAAATACAAACTTGTTAAAGTATCTTAAAACTCATTAATTTCTTGCACTAAATAATGTAATTAAATTCATATCAAATGTAGTAACTTTATTTATAAATTATTTCCCCATGAAGCAGTAAACTTAGTTACGATGAAAATTTATAATTGAAAAAATTCCCCAAAAAATGCAGTAAAATTCAAATTCTATGCAATAAATTAATAAAATGAGAAAACAGTACTAACCTTTTCAATATTTTCATTCAATCGCACAAGAATTCTATCCAAACTCGCACAGCTCGCCCACAAAGAATTATTTAAATAATGATTTTAAATTTCAAGCTTTCATTATCAACAACTCTAACACACGATAACAAGTTTCAAACTTTCCTTTAACCCGGTTGGAAAGGAATTATATACTAAACCAAACTAACCAACGCAGCTTACTAAACACCACAAATCATAAAATAACAGCATGACTAAGAAAAGAAAACCAACGGTACCCTAACCGGATTAACCGAGTTTAAAACTGTATAATTTATTCTTTTGAAGACTATTATAAAGTCTAAGAAAGAAATAATAAAACATGAAAAATTCGCAAGTTAAACCCATGCCAAAAACAATTGGATTTTTGAAAAAAGGACACAACCAAAGTAACATAAGAAAGACCAACATAAACCCAACATAAAACGTTATCACATAACAGGACCTCTCAAAGAAACAGTATGAAATCATACTCCCACTCCTGGCCTAACCCACCAGAGAGGACGTCCTGAGCATGCTCTATAGCCGGCCTAATCCACCGCGCTACATCCACGCTTTGTGACCACTTTTCTATTTTTAAGAAGAGGTACTCAAGGGTGAGTAACTCTTCAAATTAACCGAACCAAAACAAAACGCTTTTGTGAAAACGACTAGCTAAATTCATGATTAAAAACCGAATTAACATTATTTTATAAAATGTAAATCATACTTTGCAGTATATAGATCATACACAACAACAAAGACGAAAATCCAAAGACTAGATGATCCCATCACACTCGAACAAAAGAATGGCTAAACACAACTGACATGCCGTGAACAATCACCACTCAAAGGATTTAGAGTACGACTTGACTTCGCAGAAAAGGACTTCGTTGAACTACAACAATGACCACCTCGATGTTCAAGTATACGTACAGATCCGAGTTACAAGGCATCCCTTCCACACACGATCTTCACGCCATTCCCAGACGAGGCTGCACAGAAAACAGTTCTCTACTAATACAGAAAAAACTGACATAGCAAACCATTTTGAAATCGGATTGATTTCATTGGGGATCACAGTCATTGGCGAATAACGAAGCAAAAATTTCCTGTCCATAATTCCAGCGGCCTGGAACGTTCTTCTTCAAGAGGAACCGGATAAGAAAATGATGTTCGCCAAATACCAACGTTCATCATCCATCCTTCAAATTGCAGAGAAGAACGATAGTTCTAGAAAACTCTGTAAACCCACCGTAAATTTTAACTTTTTTCAAAATATTTAATATTGACCAATCATAATCCATCCAACTAACAACCCACTTATTTGTAAGTGCTGAAATTACTTGTAGTTTCAGCACCAGAGAGATTTGAATTTAACTTAGAAATTAGTTACCTCTCCAAGAGAACTTCAGCAGTTGCAATAAGCCAGTATACTCTAGATCTATTGAGCCTAGCAGAGACTAGTTAAACACCCTGAGACTAGTAGATATAAGAGTAAGATTAGGATCGGTATTAGACTAAGAAGTTGCACGAATCTATCCGGCCGAAAATAAGATAGTGTGACGAGCAGACGGTGTACCCTATCCGAAATTACTCTATGAGTTAACCACATCGGTCCTAACTCAAAATCAACGCTTAAATGTTGTAGATACCTGAGATATCATTCCACGTAAACTTCCATTTAAAAATTTCTTTTTCCTTCCGTGCGTAAAAAGAGCATTTTCAGTTTTTCTGTTTTTTTTGAATTATCCGATGAAATTCTTGAAATATGTAGAGGTAGTTGATGGAGGGGACGGCTGGTGTGCGGTTGTGCTTAAATGCCAAAAAAGTGCTTTGATAATAAATTTAAGTTAGAATTTCGCCAGCTTTTATGGGGTGTGGTTATTTAGTAGGACCAAAGGTGAAAATTTAAAAATAAGTTGCTTGGTTCTCACCTGCTAACAAAGTGAAAAAAACTACGAAGTCCATCATTGATAAATGACATTTAGCGAATCAGAATAGTGTAGCCTTCAGATCTCTGAACTTTGTTGTCTATAGATTGTTTACAACCAAAGAGTTCATTTGGGTTTACGTTTTGTTTTTAATTGCATGAGACTTCTTGGATCTAAAACACCCAACAATCAAAGGTATTGTTTATAAGTTTAAGCTTCAAAGTATTACAAAATGTTTAAGTATTAAAATAAGAATGAGGCCCTAACAAATTACTCAAATACTGATGAAGGCCTAAATGCCCAAATGCTCCGACCACGACACTATTTTTTTATTGAAAATGCTTTCCCTGATATACTAAAAAAAGAATTGAACATTTGCTGTAACGTCCCATTAAAAACTCCCATCAAAACAAACATTGACCTGATCCGCTGCAGCTGCAACAAATTTTAAGACATTCTACGGCCGCATTTTAGAATATTTTTCAGCCGCATATACCGGCTGTTTGAGCTTCATGCTTAGAAAACTTCAATTCTTAACCGCACTTTAGTTCACCATTTGAACCTTATCCTCCCTAAATGGACCAAGAGAACAATCTCCAGAACTAAATGACAAATTCAAGAAATAATTACTAAATCTGATTGGATGGAGAATATTGCTTTTAATCAAGCAAATTATCTCCTCCCCATTTTGATTTGTGAACATTCGTCAATATTTGTGACCATTCGAACATTTCGTCAAATTACACGGCAAAAGAGAATAAAAAAGTTCCTTTTGACGACTGGCTGAAGTCAGTTACCTTATTTCTATTCGTTTTTATCCGTCTCGACTTAGCCAGTTGAGTTTTGGTCTGCAAAAGGGCTAACCATTGTGTTACACCTTTTAGGCCAGCAGGCGAACGAATTTTAGTTAGTTTTTGCTTACATGCGGATATAACCACA